CCAATAGAATCTAGAAAAAAGTTATAGAGCAACCTTTTGCTAAAAAAAATAAAGTTGTTAATCACTAAGTTTTGTGGTGGTGTCACGTGTTAAGCCGTCGGCAAACGAGTTAATTAAAAATTTTTATTATTATTATTAGAAATAGCTCGGGCATAGCCCATTGCCAACCAAATAAAAATCGAAAAATCAAAAGTAACAAAAATAAACCCTTAAAAATTAAAAACTGATTAAGATAAAAATCAAATTGTCATTATAAAATTAAATGAGTTAGCTTCATTAGATTTTTAACAAAGTCATTACAGTGGCAATCAAACAGGAAATTGAATCAGCAACAAAATCTGTCTAGTTAATACAAACACAAATATAATAAAAAACCAAAATTGAAGACGAACCGAAACAAAGGGATTTTTAACAGAGAATATAAAAAAAAATAAAAAAAACGAAAATTTAAATTTATAAATATAGGAAAATAAACAAAAGACACAATATTATTGAGATTATCAGAAATTATCAGAAATTAGCCCTCCAATCAAACATGACATCTCCAAAAAAATTGTCTATTGCCAAGGTTTTAATTGGTTAATTGCGAAGTTTAATTAGTTGAGTTTCTCCGTTAGGATCAATGAAGACTCGTGAATTAAACTTTTATTACAATAAATTATTAGTGCACATTATTTGTTGATCCGTTTGTATTTTATTAGGAGAGGATAATGAAATCACTCTTCCTGTCAAGATTGTGTGGTTAATCTAGCTACCATTTCAATCGGCATGTCAGCCAATTCTTCTTCTTCTTTTTTTTCACAGTTTTTTATTAACACTGTTGATGCCAAAATCGTTATAAATTCAGGCGACTCTAATGACGTAACATGAATATTATGTTAAACAAAATATTTCAATAATTTTACAAAAATGTAATTCTTTTTGTATTTTTGAAAATATTGCCAAATGCCCTTCTGTTCGAGACCAAAAAACCAATATTAATTGCGAAGTTTAATTAGTTGAGTTTCTCCGTCAGGATCAATGAAGACTCGTCAATTAATGAATTTTTTATTTACTACTTTACAATGAATTGTGTAGATTTCACTATCAGATGATTAATTACTTTTTTAGTTCACTTTAAAAGAAACTTACTAACTTTATTATCAGATAAAACATTAAAGTGATAAAAATTAGATCGTGATTTTTGTATAATTAGGCAATATCGTTAATA